GTAAAAGAGTATCTCAGTTGACAGATTATGTTCCAATAGCTGTGTATGCACTTCTTGTGTGTCTTGGGATCTTCTCCTGCCACTACTGGTGAAGATGTTTTTCAAACACGTGTGAGGGTAAATCTTCTTTGGATTCCAACTTCTTCACAAACTCGACGCAGGTCTTCGCCCTACTGCAGAGGAATCGAACTTGTTTCCGTTACTACCTAAAAACACAGGTCTGGTGTTGTTTGTCTACTTTTTATCTGTCAAAAGTAAAGGATGTGCTTTTTTAAGAGCATGTACATCTCAGAAGATAGGTTTGGCCAATAAGTTAGATGATCCTTTATCAAAAATCAGAATTTAAGGCATGAAGATAGTTCTAAGTAAAAACAGTCTTAAATCCTTAAAAAATAATATCTGAGAATTGAAAATCTTGATACAACCGGTATCCCAAGTATCTCTAACCCTAACCCTCTCCCTCCCCCCTTCAAAACGGGGGTTTCGTAAATTTATTTGAAATGCCCAGAATATCTATTAGGCACTTCAAAAAGTATAGACAGACTTTGTTGGATGTTTACTCAATGCATTATCCCAGCTAAAATTCGATTGCATGTTATTTTCTTTGTTTTTTCATGAATTTCCATCTAAGGATAAGTTCGATTTTTTTTCAATATTATCCCAAAATTAGTCACTTCCCATGCTTTGTCCCGACTATTTGTTCATTTTTAAGCTGTATTGCAAGTTATGGAACATTCCAAACACATTTTGAAATATTTATATGCTACCAATTTTCCCCCTAAAATGTTAAATAAAAAATCAAAATGCGTTCGTTTTGCATAGAAAATCTATTACGCTGTTAGAGGACGCTTCTTTTTATCTGTTCCATAATTATTGCCGTTTATTTGATATATTTTATAGTTGAAAAGAGCCAAAGAACAATTTTGAACATGTTCAAAAAGTTTACCATCAGCTGTATTTTGCGTAAAATTACAAAATTCATGCAAATTCTTTCGCAAAGCTTCTTCTTAACTTTCAAAAACCATGTATAGCAAGTTTCATAATTTTGCGTCATGTTTTAGGCAACTTTTTTTCAAGTTTCAAAAATTGACATAACTTTGAAACCTAGGGTTTCAAGTAGTTATAGAACTTACACTAGACTTGGAAGCCTCGTAAATTTAACGTGACACCAAAACAAGGCGGAGATCCTAGGTTGAACCAGCATAAGGAGCACTCCAGGGATCTCCAAGATTTTTGGAGAAAAATCGAAAAAAAGTATTTTTTTCGATTTTTGCGGCAAAAGTTTACCTATTTGAACATTGCAGTTGGATTACCAGCTCAAAAATAGATGGTGAGCCTCCAAAATCTTGCTGCCAAAACTTTCGGTCAAATACCAAATAATCACGAAAAAAGTTTTTGAAAACTGGCTATTTTCTACTTTTAATCAGTAACTGAACTTGTCCAGGGTGAGGTTCAAAAAATTTGCTAGGATGCATCTAGTGGTGGTGATGATGATGGTGATGATGATGATGATGGTGGTGATGATGATGGTGATGATGATGATGATGGTGGTGATGATGATGGTGATGATGATGATGGTGGTGATGATGATGATGGTGGTGATGATGATGATGATGATGATGATGATGGTGGTGATGATGATGATGGTGGTGATGATGGTGATGATGATGGTGGTGGTGATGATGGTGGTGATGATGACGCTGATAATGATAATGATAATCGTGCACCTACCTTGTTCGAGGTTCTTCAAGATGTACATAAAACACAGCAGTAGCTCCTTAGTCTCTTCATCATCAAAAGGTACCTTTAAAGCCATCTGGGAAGCCTCTTTAGGAGTATTGGGTGCAACTGGCGTTAAAGAGTCACTCGGACTCACTCTCAGGTTCCCRGAATACGCCGAGCTACGGTTAGACTCGGACGGGGGATCACTCGTTAGGACTGGGTAGGAGGATTCCTGAGAGAACTGGGATAGAGAGTGAGGTAGTTCATAATTACTGCCTTGGAATCGTGGCACGTGGTCAAGTAGAATGGTCAGGAATGGAAGGTATAGAGCTGCGATACGAGACTGACGACCCTGGAAATATTTAAAATAAAATGAATCGAGTTAGTAAACTAAAATCTTAAACTTAAAATCCTGGGTAGCGTAGCAGCCTAGCCTCACATGTGAGTAGAGTTTGTTAGCTCTCTCCCTTGATCCAGGGTTTTTTCCGGGTTCTCCGGTTTTCTTCCCTCTGCAAAACCTAACGAGATAAATCCCAATTTCATCGATCGTATTCAATGAATATCACAGAGGGTAATGTTGTTACCTCGTGATCGTATCTTGGATCCAGTTCATGTTTGACCAGCAGGTTTCTAAGTACTCTGATGGCCAGCTTACGAATATGGCGCCCCTGCGTCAGAGCCGAAGACACCTGGAAATACAAATAACGTTTATATTTATAATAGATAGCAAGAATGGATACTACACAAAATCGCTAGATCTCGAGACACGAGATAGCTTGCGGAGCAAAAGGGGAATTAAGGATGGTGTAGTACACTCGCCTCTCATCTCTGAGGTCTCGGGTTCTATTCCTGGAATCAGCATTATTTAACTTTTTTTTATAGAGGATAACACTTGACAGTAATTTCAACTGATAAACTTCTGGTCCTCTTTTAACGTCTCTAATTAATTAGGGACGGGACCGCCATTAACGTGATCATCCGAGCCACGTGAAGGTCTAACCATTTGCAGATGTAATTACAAAGGCAGCACCTCCTCAGTTATTTTAAGACCCTGAGTATTGGTCTGGCCGAAGCACAACAGACCGACGCTCTTATCAACTGAGCTGACCGGGTGGCATCAGTCAGTCATTCATTCATTTAGCAGTCAATCGGCCAGTCATTCATTCAGTCAGTCAGTCGGTCAATCATAACACGTTAGAGTCCAACTTGATCTTTGAGATATAGCCGTGTCCTGCCTTTGATCAGCCCCAGCAAAGGTTGTTCCTGGGTTCCACTAAACTGAAGGTTTTGAAGGGACCAAAGGGTTGATATCAAACAGTACAACATACCTCTCGCAGCAAGAGCCCAACCAGGAAGAAACGTTTACAATACTCGTCTGATAACTCACAGTCGTGTATTCCACCAAGACCTGAGATGTTAATGTCAAAAACCGCAAGATCAGAAATGACATACATCGAGAATTAGCGTGCGTCGATCGAGTTATGGATGCATATTGGTGCGCGCTTCTAAACCAACCACATTTAGTGAAGGTAAACAGTATGGATTTTGGTCTGGCTTCGGCACAGATATTGCAACATAAGAAATGATGAACACAAGTTACAGGGAGGCTACGGGGGCTATAGCACCTCCCCCCCCTTTTTGAGAAATGATCTTTTAAATTTACAGTTTGTAATAATGCTTAAATACTCACAATTATAAAAATAAAGTATTATATTCAAAGATAAGAGAAGCACGACGCATAGTAACAGGCGCACGATTTCTAATTTTTTAATACGACCTCATTTTCATTTTTGCCCCCCCTCCCCCAATAAACATTATGCTCCTACGTCCGTGATATAGGTATTGATGCTAGACCAGACTACGTGGTGTTATAATCAATACTGTAGATACAGAATGCGTCTACTATTCATCTACAGTCATAAGGAACCTAAGGGTATATGATTGGAATCTTACAGACCTCTGATGTCCAGAGGAAGGTTGAGAGGGATGTAGTGTTCATGGTTACAGACGACTTGTAGGAACTCGAACTTGAATTCACGCATCTGAAACAATAAAAATCATAATAATTAACACACCTTGACTTAATGTGACTGAAAACATTCATTCTGCTTCGAAGTGAAAAAAGGTTTGAGGAAGGGGAAGGAGGAAAGTAAAGGATTGCAACACAAACCAAGATTATTACGTCATAGCCACCATGTTAGTTGACGATAACAAAGCATTCCTCATTAGCTTCTCTTGTTAGATCAACCAACATGGCGTAATGAGTAATGTGGGAGAAAGGGAGGGATGGGTGGAGAGAGGGAGAGATGGGTGGGAGAGATAGGGATGGATGGGAGAGAGAGAGAGAGAGAGAGAGAGANATATTCACTTACCACCCCTTTACCATGTATGGTAACAGGATAAGCCAGTCCTGCAACAAGCAAACGAATGGCTCAATCAATAAATGATCAAATTAGAATTTACAAGTTGATTTTTGCAGATGGAGAGCAACTGGAAAACCCAGAGAAAACCCCCCAAATACAGGAGAACTAGCTAGAAAATGTACTCACATACACTATACCACCCATGCTTCACAATGAATGGGTGGGAGGGTAGGTAGGTTGGTGGATGGATGGATGGATGGAGGGAGGGATGGAGGTAGGGAGAGAGGAAGAGAGGGAGGGGTGGAGAGAGGGAGGGATGGGTTGAGAGAGGATAGAGGGAGAGAGGGAGAGAGGGAGGGAGGGAGGGAGGGGTGGAGAGCAAGGGGGAGCAGTATCAAATAATACTGATTATATACCTGAGTGTCAGAATCCCTGAACTGCTCCGAGTAGTACGTTATCATCTGAAACACGAACCCTCGATCCATGTACGTGAAACAGTCCTGTGTACAGACAAACATCAACAGCTTTAGTCAGAAATAACACTTCAACCAAACGAACCGCACCTATTTGAGAACTGTCCCAAGGTGGGGTTGATCAAGAATCCAATACCAGACTAACTTACCTTGGTGAAGCACGCAAGGTGGAAGTTTGCATCCTAAAGAAAAACACCGAAAGAGTAAGATAAGGGGAACACAATACAAGGGGAACACAATACAAGGGGAACAAAATACAAGGGGAACACAATACAAGGGGAACACAATACAAGGGGAACACAATACAAGGGGAACACAATACAAGGGGAACACAATACAAGGGGAACACGATACAAGGGGAACACAATACAAGGGGAACATGGCGTGAATAATGCGATCTTCGGTTTTTGAAGTTTTAGGTGCGCCTTAAGATAAACGTTTGCGAACTCGACAAAAATCGGCGCACGACTGCTGTCACGACCATTTTTTCCTGTGCGCCGCTCTATACGGGCATACACTATTTGTTACCTTTGCTATCTGAGCCAGTTCTTTCAGTCTCTTGATTATCTGAGGTACAAAAGCTTGGACGAAGTTCTCTAGGCTTCGGTGGAGACTCTCTGGGAACCAGTTGTCGCGGTTCATTCGCTGAGAGTTCAAAATAATAAGTTGTAATACAGCAACCGTAGAAGGAGCAGCACAAAACAACAACAGCATCAAGATCAACAGTAACAGCAGCAGCAATAACAAAAACAGCAATAAGATTAACAGCAGCAGCATTAATAACAGCAACAACCGCAACAGCTGAAAAAGATCAGCACTGCACAAACAGCAATAGCGAAGCAACGGCAGCAACAATAAGGACTTTACAGAATTGCAAAGTCTACAACGGCGACGTTAACCGGAATTATAAAATAATTTCTCCAAATCCCTAATGTGTCTGCGTCATGATGAAAAAAAGCACTAACACCAATAGCAGCAAATAAATACGTCGCTGAGAATTCAAGTCATATTGTGAATACCTTTGCTTTGTCGGACTCGACAAGCGTCTGTGCCATGCTCTTTGCTATGATTTCAAAGAAAAACCACGAATGCTGAAAGAAGAAAAAAAAGACACGTTCTTATTCTCTCCATCTCAAAAGACCTATAAATATGTGTTTGGTGTTYGTACCTTCATGAGGTCACTGACCACTGCGGGATCACTGCCTGGCTTCAGGTTCATTGTCAAGGTCTTGGCTAACTCCTCGTGTACTGTCTTACTTGAGTTCTCCACTCGTTCAGTCACAAACACGTACTAAATCAAGAACAAAGGTTATGAGGTTCCACAAATACATTTACAACCTTTAGTAGTTTTACAGCTATTTAAGTGCACCTAACCCCTGATACAATACTTTCAGTATTGATTCTACATAAAGTAAATAATTGAAGGGTGAAATATTTCTTCATTTGAATGTTGGGTCTTTAAATCATGAAGGTTTATACTTCCAATATGTTACTGACTGTGACGTCACCCCAGGCTTCATTAAATATACAAATTTTGACAGGTTCATACAAACAGTTTTTAAAAAGAATCATTAYTAAACTCAAGGTTTCCCTGTTTGTCCCTTGACCTCGAAACGGCAAATCATAAAAGACTTTACTATTACTGAGTACCCGTACCTCTTATATCTAATATCGGGTGACGGATTTCGATTTCTGACTCTGACAAACATGGACTTTGATATTCTGTACAGGTGCCATAAGGGACCCATTAGACCYACCCATGCCTGACCTTTGGAACCCCTGACCCGACCAAGACTTTGCTCTGAAGGGTCCTCTATGTCCTGTATCATAAGGAACCACAGTCAATGACCTGGTCTAGGACCCACATGATATTTGACCCCTTCTAACTAGTTCCTCAATTTTTGGACTTTATTTATTTATTTATTTCCCCGCAATACTGACCTTGACGTATGACTTGAGAGCTTCTATTCTTTTGGCTTCGTGGACTTGCGACGTAATACGAATAAGAACTCTAGACACAAACAAATGATTAGCTCCCATATAATAACAGTATATAGATATAATATATGGTGTATTTGTTTTTATAAAATACTTGAGGTATAACACGCGCGCTGATTGGCTGGCTACCGTGTTTATATCAGGGACCGGATAAGACACGCTTGTGCAAAATCGTTCAAGTATATTTTATAAAAGCAATATAAAACGGCTGTATTTAAGGAATATAAAACGCGCGCCGATATATCTGTACTGTGATATCAACACGCCTGGAGAGCACTCGAATGCAAGACTACGCTTCGTGTTCCTAAGCTTGCTTCTTTCGTGCTCTACAGCTCCTAGCGTGTTCATATCACAGTACAGATACGCACGTTTTATATTCCGTGAATACAGTCGACTCACCGAGCCACATTGAGGGTGACGTCTTCACTATGCGAGACCAACATGACATGAAATAACTGATTGAAAATCACAGGTAGAAACCGGATAACGGTATTGACATCTACGGCATTCAACAACTGGAAAAAGAGATGGATATCAACAATTTATTAATGTAATACTAAAGGAAGCCCATTTGACGCCGAGCACTACTCAAATGGTTTCCGAATAGAAATTTATTCTCAAAATGGCTTCCCTAAGGCATGTAGCCTAACAGAGTTCAACTCTCAGATGTAAAATATAAAGTCTCAAAATGGCTTCCTTAGGCATGTAGTGTAACGGAGCTCAACTCTCAAATGTAAAATCTAAAGTCTCAAAATGGCTTTCCTTAGGCATGTAGTGTAACGGAGTTTAACTCTCAAATGTAAAATCTAAAGTCTCAAAATGACTTCCTTAGGCATAAAGTATAATGGTATACGACTTTCAAGTGTATTTCATAAGACATGAAGCTTGAAGGTGCACAACTCTCAAATAGCTTCAATATGACATGCGCAAATAGCTTTTCGAACTTGCGCAACGGTGCGCATTTGTACTCTTTCTGAGCAGCGAAGCCATTTGAGATTTGATGAGCTACACGGCCTTGCAATGACAAGAAATCTTCTGTAACAAGGAACAATATGTTGGACTGGACAAAGAACGAGTTATAACATAAAGCTAATACCACTAGAGTGTATCGTACCTTGAGTGTCTTGCTCTTTTCTATTTCACTTGAAGGAGAGCCATGGAACTTCTGACAGTGCGCGAAAAACCCATCAACATACTCGTCCTGAAGAAACAGAAAGATACCTGTAGTTAATTTGCTATGTTAGTATGGTAACTATTAATGGATTCTGCTTCGCGCTTAACTCTTGTAACCCCCTCCCGCCATTCTTCAAGAATAAAGCCACTTTGTTTGTATGATGTATAGTGTTGAAAGTTAGACATATTTTCCTTAATGTGTACCTAAACAGAGAATGCTTGAGGTGCGTCTGAGATTCAACCGAACGAAGAGAACACGCATGAATTCCAAAGCATGGATCCCATTTCTTTGTCTAAGTAATTCTTTCTTAATCGCGTGCAAGATAAACTTAATGGACGAAGAGCAGTTTTGCGGAAATGATCCCATTTGATTTTAAAGTTGGTCTAATAGCGCAGCGCAACCGTGGCGTCATAAAAACGAAGACAAAGGCGAAATTCGGACAAACAAACTTACAAGTTTACTTTCAGCAGATAATTTTCACAGCCGATCGCAGTTGATCTTAGTTTACATGGGTTATTATTGTAACTTTAAGTAAGAATAATAAAATCGGTTCGTATAATTCTCGTAGCGGATAAACAGAATGCAATGTTTGTCCGAATCTTTAAGCTATTTTTGGAATCAACGCGCTGCGCTATTCTGAATCAAGTGAATCAATAACTTCATTGGTAGCCAGTACTACGAATGCCAATCATACCTGTGTATATACGGTAGATACGAGCCTAGTGTTCACTTTGAACAGGGGTTTCTCTTTGTCAACCCACTTGACGTCTGGACCAGTCACCTGGAAAACACGAGACATATCTCAGTCAAAGCGCAATCTATAGAGATTCACCACAACTACAGGTCTTCTAGAAAGGAATCTCATATCCACAAATAGTTACCTTTGAAAGACCAACATACTGCGCCGACAGGTATTCATCGGGCGACGACTGAGACACCATGAGTGATATCTCACCTTCACGAACTCTAGAGTTAAAAATAAATAGAGGATGTTACACGGTGGCGCGAAGATATGAAGTTTGTCTTCGAGAGGTGAAAATATTTCACGAGCGAGCGCAGCGAATGATAGACACATTTCTCCTCCTTCTTTTCCTCACTCGATCCCTTAGCTAAATGAATAAAGGGTAGTTTTGTATACCTTTTGTTGTGTAGTATAGGCATCCAAGCGTACCCAACTAGAAACCAAGAATAGCAGTTAACGTCACGAAAAACTCCAGACATACACTTTGCGTGACTGTTTAATGATACGTCACAAAAAGCGCAAGACAGTAACTTTGCGTGATATTAAAAAAAAGTTACGTCACAAAAAACTCAAGACAGACACTTTGCGTGACTGTTTAATGATACGTTACAAAAAGCGCAAGACAGTCACTTTGCGTGATATTAAAAAGTTAAGTAACAAAAAACTCAAGACAGACACTTTGCGTGACTGTTTAATGATACGTTACAAAAAGCGCAAGACAGTCACTTTGCGTGATAT